TTCAAAATTTTGTTTTGATCAATTTATTGTAAATTCATAAATGAAGCCTAAAAGCCAACACAAAAAAATTATCTTTGCAATTGAGACTTGATATAGCTTTTAAACATTGGAAACATGCCTGATAAGAAAAATTTATTTTAGGATTTAAAAAAATTGTTCTTGAAATTGCTCAAGGATCTTATGAACAGGATTGGAACGAATAAAGCTTCAAACTTCAACTTATTTTCTTTCTGGTGACTTGAAAACTAAGTAGATAACTGCAAAAAATCATTTTAGCTCGAAATCCTTCAGAAAGAAACAATTTCGCTTTTAATTCTGACTCATCTCCGTGTTAGTTTATTGAAAACCAAATAAATTAACGTATAAAAACCATTTAAAACCTTCGAAATAGAAGCTTGAAACTCCTGCTCGTCTCAATTTCAACCGCATTTTAGTAAAAGGGACCGTCCTTGACGAGTCACCAACCCACGGCGCGGCTTCAGAATGAAAAATGTTCCATTCTTTCTTTCTTTTTCCAACCCAAAACCATGAATCACCATCACCCGACCATTCTTTGACCCGAGCCGCCGGTGCTAATCTCTCCTTTCCTTCTTTATTTCCAACAAGGCGGCAAGTCCCAAGCGGCCCGAGCTCCCTGGGAAAAGACCACCTAATCCTGTTAGTTCCTCTCTTTTTTTTATGCTAATTAAGGCGGTTTCTTTTCCGAACTGATGTGTCGCGTATGAATGGCCCTTTTTGAGGAGAAGACAATCTCGCGCCGGGGCGAATTAATCAATATTAATTGGGTGCGATAAATCTCGACGAATACGTCGCAGCCGGTTTTTCCCATCATTCCTTGTCCGCAGCTGATAAAAGTTTTTATTTTCAATGAAGTCTTCAAAGTTTGCAAGGCTCCAGAATGACACTTTTTGAGGTTATAGTCTGTCAAAAAAATCCTTATTTTTTTCGAGTTCGAGAATTTCAATACCTTAACAGAAAAATTTTTAATATTTAAATATCACAGTAGGTCTTTTTTTAATTTTCCTAGGTACCTTTCAAAAAAATTCTTGTGTGTGGGCGTAGAAATCTTGCATGACCAAAATTAAAAGTCGATTTTTTTTCGCCTGAAAACCTTTTTAGAAATCTGCTTATTCTCCTTTAAACTTGAAGAAATGTTTTGAAGAATTTGAAAAATTTACTTCAAGAAACTTATAAATTTGTCGTCGTTCAAAAAGTTCTTCGTTTAAAACTTCCCAAACTTTTTGTAATTTTTCTAGTTGAATTAATATTTTTTTCCGTTAATGTTCATGATAAAAAAACTATCCATCTCTCAATTTTTTTTTTACGTTTTTGGCCAGAAGCTTCAAAAAGTTGATTAAAATCCACAGATAGTCATTTTTCTTAATAATTTTTTCGGAAAAACACTTCAGATCTCAATTTTTGTATATATTTTGGCCTGTAGTTTTCAAAAGGCTCTAGAAAGTCGAAAAAACCCACAGAAAGTCATTTTTTCTGATAAATTCCCTGATAAGAACACCTTCTTGACACCCTCCTGACGTTGATCAGATAACACGGGAGAGTTGGCGTCAGAACCGCCATTTGAGGAAGCGACAGTCGTGGGAGGCTCCGCCCAGGGTTTTCCGTCGGCCACGCCCCCTTTTCGCCGTCGCAGCCGTTCCTCCTTGGGCGCGACAATTGTGCCATTATATGACCTGTGTATTTGTCGCCGGGATCAACCCCCAAACACTGCATAACCTCATATTCATTCAAGTATTTGTCTTATTGGCTGCCTTTTTTTTCTCCTGCGACCTGATTGGCTCGTTTTCTGGAGTTTTCTGAACTTACTAGGTTTTTTTCAACTTCCGTGTTTTTTACTGACCTTCAAAGCCTAAAGTCAAGTTTTTTGCGGGTTTTAAAGCTAAGCTTTGCTTCTTCATTTTTTTGGCTCTTTCATAAAGTTTTTTTATTCCGTTTCTTTAAAAAAAGTTTTTTTGAGTTCAGATCGTACTTTTCCCTTAAATTTCACTTTTCCCATTCATTTTCGAGCTTTCGTTTTTCCCCTTTTTTTGCCAACTTTCAAAAACTAGATTTAAGTTTTTCGTGCTTTTTTAAGCTTGACTTTGTTTTTTTTTAAAGTATTTTTGAGCTTGAGTCGTACTTTTTCTTTAATTTTCCCCTAATTTCGCCCTTTTCGTTTCACTTACAGTCATATTTATTACTTTCAATAGATTTTCTTTTTAAGCTGTGGGGTTTTACAAAATTTTCGCCTTTTCTGTCCTATTTTCGAGTCCAAAGCTCTTTCATACTGAGTTTTGTGCTCGAAACACTCATTTTACTTTTGATATTTTTTTGAAGTAAGTAACTTTTTCCCAGTTACTACTTGAAAAGAAGCAAAAAACGGCCTCACTCGAGAATTTTTAAGGCCAAAAAGTGGCTTTCCTCCGTTTTCCAGCAATTATCTCTTTAATTACGGCCTTCAGTTCAAAAAAGGTCCATATTATTATAATTTCTGTTGACTGTCAGGGAAGGTTAATTGGAAGGACAGTTGGGAAGAATTTTATGTATAAAACTTGAAGGAAGAAAAAAACGAAAAAAATAGCTGCACATTGGAATTTATCTTAGGAATCTTTTGAACTGATTATGATACTTTTTGGTAGTTTTTTTAAGAAAAAAAGTTATTTTTTTACCGAATTCATCTGTTCAATTCGATTTTGCGCTGATTTTTTCTTTATTCTAACCTATAGTCTTTTTCACAAAAGGTTCTTTCCCCTTTCTTTGGACTTTTTTTTCAAAGTGCTCTCGTAAACCTTCATTTCTGTTTTAAAAACAAAAATAGAAATGTAAGCTTTTTTGCCTATAGTTCGGTATTTTCAACTGCCGCTCAAATTTTATTTCATTTTCTTTTTTTCCCCTGAGGATAGATTTTGATAAAAAAATGTTTATTTGAGAACTTTTGGAAATTTTCCTCGCAAGAAGATTTTCATTTACTTATTCCTGGAGGTTCTTCATTATTTTTCACAATTCTCTAGAGCTTATTCAAGGAAATATTGTTCAAATCGCTCTTTTGTTGAAAAATTCGTGAAAGGATTCTAACTGAAAAAAGTACGAAACAGGTAGGAAAAGTGGAACATTCGCCCACAGAGATCTCTCATTTGGCCGCGCGTAGCCATTTCGCGCCTTTATAATCACTATAATCACCTCTCCCCGGGTGATATCTGATAAGTCACGCGCAGAAATGTGTAATTACTCGGGCTGCGAAGCTCGAATGTCGAGTAAAATCGTACAAAACAAGGAGGAACTTTTGGAAAATAAACATGTTCGCTCTATTGACACTTCCCTTCATTTTTGAAATGGAAACAATCATTTTATCCTTCAACCAGGCTTGTTTGAGGGCCGGCCCGACAGACTATCGGCCCTGGGCCATTTTCTAAGCCCAGTCCAGAAAGCGAAATTTTTCTCCAAGTCAAATGTCAGACTTTTCTATGACCAAAAACACGATTCTGATTTTTTTTTTTTTCTTAATCTTAATATCCACACAAATTGATTTTAACAAGTAAGTAGGATTTTTGGGTGAAAATTCAGAGTGAGGATGAATTTATTCGATTACTCGAAGCCTGGCCTGAGTAAGCGCAGGGTTTTGGCGAAAAAAAGGCCCGAAGCCCGGGCCTGACACATAAGCCATTAAGCTGTTTCTGTTAGAGTTGAAACAGAAATCGTGAAAAATGAGAGGAATATTTAATAAATCAACAAGTTCGCTCTATGGATACTTTTCTTTTTTTGCAAAATATTCATTCTCTTTCAACTTGAACATGTTGGAGGGAAACCGATTAGTTCAGTTCAATCGTGAAAAATGAAAAGAATCGATTAAGGCAAAATAATGGACTACCAACAACCAGAAAACTTCACTTTCCCACGTTTTAATTATTATTATTGTTATCCTTGGACTTGTCTCATTATTCCAATGGATTCCTTTCACCTCCCGCCACTTAACTATACGATTTTTGGGCGTCGAAGTTTGTCCTCCTCCTAATATTTTTGGCGAAAGCTAATCGCGAATCTTCTTCGCCATATACGCTTCCGTTTTTGGGAGCTTTTTCACTTTGAGAAGGAGCAGATTTTGAGATTTTTGAAGGCCCCGAGAAGGTGCTTCTCAGTGGATTAGGCCTATTTGATTGACTTCCTTGAAATTTTAATTTTCGGGATATTCCATTGGATCGTTTCTGTTGAAGTTTTGTATGAAAAAGGGTTCCCTGAACTTTTGAAGATTTTAAGATTTTGAAAGGCTAGCGATTGTTCTGAAATCCTTGAATTTCAATTAAAAAAAGTGTTTGTTAATCGTTTGAACTTTTTTTCAAATAAACTCTTTCAATCGATTTTTTTGAAAAAAATTTTTCAGGTTTTTTTCTAAATTTTTTTATTTTGAATTTTTTTATAACTTGAAAAGTCTTCAAACTTCTCATGTCTTAAAAATTGACTTGAATTGAAATTGAACATTCCACTCAAAAAGACTTCTTATTTTTTTAAACTTTCAAACGTCTGGGAAACTGGATTCGGTTAAAATTTCGAATCGTTCCCATCAAAGTCTCGCACTTTCTCAAGGCTTTTTTCTTCTCAATTTTTTTTCCATCATTTTTTTCACGAGAAAACAGGTTTTTTTTTTGTATGGAAACCTTTTTCTTTTCAACATTAATCACTAGAGTGATCGCTTTTCTGGGGCTTTTTTGTTATCAATCTGTCAAACCGCTGGATTTTTACGATTGTTTTGGCCTTATTTGTATTGTCGTGTTTTTATTCGTGGTTTGACCTACTTGCATATCTTTTCTTACCCAAATTTGATCCTTTTTTTTTTTGAATTTTTTCCCGAAAATTAATAACTTCTTTAAATTTACCCTTTTTTCGTCCTTTGAATTTTTTTCCGTTATTTTTGCTTGTTTTTTTTCATCAAATACCATTTTTGACCTTAATTTTTGCAGATTTCATGAACCTGGATGGATCAATAAAGCGATTAGAATATTAGAATTATGAGGTCACGAAAAAGTTGGGCGATTCTCGCCCTATTCTCGACGTTTTTCGCTGGCCCAAGCGCTGGACGACCCGCCGATTGTCCGAACAAGTTGGTCCCAAGTCCCAAGCGACACCTGTCCCTCTTTTTAAAATCCTCTTTGTTCTGGAAGGCTTTGTTTTCGGTGTAATTGGTTAGGTGTTCGCTTTTTCCGGGTTATTGATTTTATGAAGGGAAATAGTATTTTGTATATTTACGAATTATATTTTGACGTCAATTTTGATTTCTTAAGTTTAAGACTCGAATATTGAAGTTCTGAAATTATTTTTTTATATTTAAATTGGGGTAATATATTTTCGGATTTAATCACTTGAAAATTACAGGAAAAAAATGGATTGAAAGCTCCTTGAAAAAAATAGATTTTCAAAGTAAAAAGCAATTTTATATTTTATTTTCAATCAATCATTTTATGTTCGCAACATCGGAATGGTATGGTGATGTTGCAGGGAGGGAAAAAAAGACATTTCGAAAAATTGTTATCGAATTTTTTTCCCGAATTTTCAATTTCAAGGTTCTTTCATAATCTAATGTAGTTAGAAAAAACAGTTATATGAAATTATTTATATAAAACCCCCCCCGCCCCATTTTTTTTTCAACTGGCGATTTCGCGTATTCATTTTAAACGAGAACACATCGATTTTGAGGTAGTTGGAGTTAATTGAACATCGATTTTTCCATCATACTTCAGATTTTTGCATTATGTCAAGATAAACTCGATTCAAATGTGATTTCCAGTTGCGACTGCGTTCCGGACCCGGTGATCCCGACGGCGGAACTTCTCATCTGCCACTACGCCCAGTCGCACCCGCCGACCTTGCCGCTCTCGACGGTCTACGCCTCGCACAAGAACCTCCGCTCCTTGTTCATCACCTGCGACGACGACGTCGGCCTGCCTGAGTTTCTGCTCAAGGGCCTTGCTTCACTCCATCATTTGAAGATCGAGGTCCGTCTTTTTTTTCTCTTAATATGTTGAAAGTAGGGATCGTTTTCCTCTGTATTAAATGATTTCTTGAAATTTTTTTAGAAGGTCCTCTTGCTTTATTATAGACTGTGGATTGAAAAAATAAAGAGAAAAACGGGACGTGGACTGAAAAGCACGTTTTTCTCAGATATTCGCTTTTTTTTTTTAGAATTTTTAGTTGATTTTGAAAAGCGCTAGGAAGGTTATTTGTTGTGATTTTTACTTTAGAGTTTGGAAAACAACTTTTTATAGCTTTTAATATAATATTCGAAGAGGGTAGGAACTTTGAGAGTTTTGAAGACTTTTATTCTTCGCTATAAACCTTTTTAATAGGTGAGAAACGTTTAAAAACTATTCACGATTAGTCTGAAAGAGAAGATTTTAAAAAAATTGAAGATAACTTTCCAATTTAATTTTTCAACCGAAATCTGAATATGATCCGATTCCAATCCAATATGTGCGAATCGAAGGGATTTGCATGGAGACACATCTGTGCGCGCGCGCGACAGAGTGTGTTGGATATTGGGATTATAACCGACGGACCACCACTTGTCTTCTTCTCCGTGTGTTAAGCCTCCGGGTGGTCCTCGTCCACGGATATGTATAACCTATTCAATTAATTCGCCTTCGCATGATGAGCTTTATTGTTTCCTTCTTGTTTTGGTGGAGAGGATTTTCGATGAAGTATTCCATGCTGCGAATCGGAAATTGTTGATTTTGAGTGTGGCAGACACTATCAAGGCGTTCGCTATATAATACTTTATTAAATAGAGTAAGGTTATATCTATACCGACTATTTGACACTTTCTGCATACATAGACGTTTCTTTTAGTGAATTTCTTCGTTTTGAAATATTTTGGCTTGGATTTATAATGGTCAAACCTTTTGACAGAAGAAAAATTAAATTTTTGTAGAGAGTTAAGCCATGTCTTGGTTTTTTATTGGAGATTTTGGGGATAGTTTGCAATACTTAATTTCGATTTTCACGCACCGAACCGTAACAGATCCCTGAATAATGTACAGACCATTTACAGATATTTTACAGTACGTACTTTCCAAAAACATGTATACATACACGTCCCATGTCGACACGTTAGCCTTGTAATGAATGATGGGTCATTGGAAACGAGGAGAAGAACAGTTGCGCAACGGGCGATAAAAAACCCGCCTGGCTCCGTGTATCAGACCGGTGGTGGTCAACAAGGAAAAAGGTCCCGAAAAAGGGAAGAGGAGCGGTGCAAATCCGGCCTCCGAGTCCACATATAATGAGAAGGAGGACGGTTAAGACGATTAGCCGCCGTCTTCTGCTTCCTTTTATTCGCATTGTTGAGTTTTTTGGATATTAGAGGAGTGCCGAAGAGGTTTCTTATGAGCTCTTAGGGTTATAGAGTCTTTGGAAGGGGTCATTGAGGTTTTTTTCGATTAAGAAAGATATTTGAATGTGAAGTCCGAAGGCTCTTAAGTTTTTTCCAGACTTCTATTCTGTGTAACGGTCCTCGGAGATCTTCCAGAGCACTTAGAAGTTAAAATAAAATTTTCTATGGTTTTTTGAGCACTTTCAAATTTGAAAGAAAAACTTATGAGAATAGACAAATTCCAGATTATATTGATACTTTTTTTGGACTTTCTAGCGTCTTCCAAAGGTTTAGGAGAGGTTTGAGAGATATTGGAATCAATTTCTGGGTTTTTAAAGCAGTCACAGGTACCTTGATATCATTTTGGCTCTAGGAGGACTTTTCAGAACTTTGAAAAATAATTTTTCAAAGCCCTCCTAAATTCAAAAGCGGTCCTGAGTTTTAGAAGAACTTTTTAAAAATCTCAAAAACCGACCGAAGTCTCTCAATGGCGCCAAATCCTTCTTCATTCTTTGCCCACCTCTTTCCGCATCATTAAAGCATGACAACGACGTGGAAAACACCTTGCAAGATGGGTATCTTTGCGAGGAAAAGTGGACGTGGACGAGAGTACAAAATGTGTTGCGCAATCTTGGTGGTGAGCGCGAAGAAATTAGCCTGTCTGTGTGTCATTTTTTACGGTTTCTTCTATTGTACTATCAACGGGGTCGTTTGGCGACAAGCCGTTTTTACTGCGTCGTTCACACGTCGTTTTTTGCATTCATAACAAACCAATTTGTACGACAATTGATCAGGAGGCATGACTCAGAGATCTTGATTCACAAGTGATGACTGATAAGTTTGAGGAATGTCCTGTGATTATCAAAACAGTTAGTGATTGGGCTATTTGAGTATTATATAAAAATAATTTCGGAAGTAATAGATACTCTGCGATGAAAAACTTAAGGCTAATAAGTAATTTGACGTGAGCCGAAATTAGCCCCTCATTTATGGCGTTTCAAGTTGTTTCTTTAATTCATCGATAAATTCATGCGCGGGGACAATTTATGGTTTCCATATTGAAAAAGTCTTTTTTCAGTTAGAAGATTATCAAATAATTTATCATGGCGTCATAAAAAGGTATGGTGCATAGGGAAATCAGTAGATATTCTGAGAAAAAAATAATGAAGAACTTTTAATTAAAGGCATATCACGTAACTGGTTGCATTATATGAGAAATAATTAAAGAGTAGACAATCTGGAGGTGTTCGGCGAGAACCGTAAACCGTCTGGCACACGGTTTTTATGGCACCAAACGGTCAAGGCAGGTACCGGACCTGGGATTCGTGGATGAATGGGTCCATAAATCAAGAAATTGCGTTGTTTCTCAAAAATTTGTTTATTGCTATCCAAAGTTTGGTAAAAAGGCAGTAAATACTGCCAGATGTTCTCTGCGTTTTGGCTTTTTTGGCGGAAAGGTTGAGGAATCGATAGTTTTTTTTTTCGCGAGATCTCTTACTTTTGATTCATCTGGGCTTGTCCGTTTTTTTATGGGAAGGAAGAAGGTTAAGATAAGAATGATTGTGTGAGTTTGCTGGCTTCTGTAGGTTCACATCGAGTGAAGGAATTTTTCTTACACGTAAAGTTTCCTGGTGTGCGTTCTTCTTCAAAACCATTTTTTAGCTCTGAATAGGACTTCAGCGCGAGAGCCATTCCAAATGCGACCAGAAGATCTCCATTCTCATTCTTTCTATCCAGAAGGACTATCCAATTTGTATCATTATAACTGAATAACCAGCACTTGACCAACTGTTGTCTCCTCCACTTTTCCCATCAAAAAAGAAAAAAAAAGTCAAGTAGTTGACAGCTCGGCTAATCGCTTAATTGGAGCTGGAGCCACTTGGAACGGAAAAAAGGATCGGAGCTATTATTTCGCTCATTTTCCCATGTCATGGGGCTGGACAAGAAAGAAGGAGATTAGCTGTTTTTGATTTGTATTTGCGCAAATTGCGTTGAGATCTCTCATATTACTTCCTTCCGTGGGGCGCCTGTCGACACGGCTTAACCTCCTAATAAGAAGGATTTTTTTGTTGGCAGCAGCCGGCTCGGATGGTTTTATATAAACCTTTTTAACGGGTTTGGGAGTCGAGAAAGAACGAATTATCGATAAAATGACGTTTTTTTCTTGCCTTAAAAGTCTTCCGTGTCAAGTTTGAATGATAAGGGAGAGAAAAGATCTTTTGCAATCTTATTTTTTTCCAACTTGGCTGATCTTAAAGCTTCACACATCTAGCGGAATTTTTTTTTCTTCATCCGGTTATTCTCAATTTTCAGAAATGCCCACTGTCGCACTTTGCCGCCAAGTTTTTCGAAGACCTGCCCAACGTTCGATGGATCGAAATGGATAATGTAAGGAAATTGGAAACTACTAAAAAAAAAGAACTCTCATAACTCAAGTTTTTCGCTCCATAGAAAGTTTGAAAAACAGTTTTTTCTCCATGTAACTCTCTAATTTTTGTCAAGCTTATCAATGAAGCTCATCTTCTCGTCTCACTTTTCTTTTCTTCACAGCTTTATTTGAATTTATGTTCTCACAGATGTCTCCATCCGGAAAACTCCTGGAATTAACGGAAGATGTCCTTTTGCCCTTGGCTCGACTGGAAAAATTCGCCCTCACTGGAAATAAAGGCCTGATTTTGCCGCCGAGGATGCTCTGCACCTTGTCACATCTTCAGGTATGTTAAAACACGATAAATTTCAAGAAAGGAGTTCTAACGTTTTACTAAGAGAGGGTGCTCTTTTCCTGCAAAAGATTGACAAAGCTGTGGTTGATAAAGGCTGGAAATGTAGAGGTACTCGAAAAATCGGTGATTTATCAATACAGCGCGTTTGTAAATGGGAAAACGACTTCAAGGAATCAAATGCATTTTTGACTGTATTTCTTCTCGGATCAAAATTTTCAGCTGAAAAAAAAAGCTTCAAAATGCATACGCACTCGAAAAATAACCGATTTGTCAAGAGAACGCGTTTTTCAATCGAAAAATTGCTTTCGAAAGCGATTTATCACCAGAGCGCGCTTTTACATTAACAGCCGTCTGAATTCATTGATGTAAAAAAAATCTGATTTATCAATGCTTCAAGCTTATGATGAAAACCTTGACGCTTCTTTAAAATTTGGAAATTGATAGTTTTTCGTTGATTAGCGTTAATTATTCAGTAGGTCAAGACAACCGAAATTTGTTGAAATTTTTTCTACTTAAAAAATATAAAAAGCCTTTTTTTCGATTGAGCTCTCTTGAAAGACAGAAAAATAGCTTCCAAACCTTCAAAAAGCCATCCAAATATACATTAAAGCGGCGTTTCCTATTCCACTTGAATATCGGTGGATGTTGTTGACGACTTGTCATTGGCGGCTTTTATGTCGTCGTGAGGAACGCCTGAAGGACCTCGTCACTCCATATATAGGCCCCCGATTCTCGAGGCTCGGCCAGATGGCTGTCATAAGCCCTTCGATCGCTGGCCAACAACACCGGTCAATGAGGAACCATGCATTTTGACGAACTGCCGATTATTATGTACCGAGATTCGAGGTTCAGAGAGGGGTTAAATGGGCTACTTAAAGTGTGAAGGGGATACTTTCGGGCCATCTCGCGATTTCTAGGATGAATTTTTTAGAAATCGAACGAAATTTCAAGCCTGTAGTTTATCCACCTAGCTTGAGACATCCTCTAGAGAAACAGTGTGCGAAAAGGGGAGGTTAAGGCGTCTAAAGAGTGGTTTTTATCAAAAGATAGTGCCTAATTTTAATCCTTTTCCAATGTCAATAGGATTATTTTGATTGACTTTTCAAATTGAAAAGGTTTAGACACATTCTACAGCCGAAAAATTTATCAGACTGGAAAATATGGACTGTTGATGTTGATGAATAGGAAACACAGTTCTATGGGTAGAAGGTTTTCGATTCAAAGGTGAATCGAGAAGTCGATACAAATAGCTACCGGGTAGCAACTTTTGAAAAATTCAATCGGCGTATGGTAATCGGTGGTCGTTTGTATGCGACCGGGTACTATATCTATGGTACCTGGGTCGGAGGTCGATGCAAGTAGCTACCGGGTAGCTACCTGACATTCGCGATTTCTTTCGGAAAGTCTGGAATTGCTTCCCGGATCGTTATTTTTTGTTTTAGCTTTATCCAATAAGACCCTGGAAGTCTTGGGAAGGTGTAAAAAAAAATACTGGCGCTGAATAAACGACCGATGTGCCAGCCAGTGGCAATCGCGAATTTCAGGTACATACCCGGTAGCATACAAATGACCACCGATTACGATTCGCCGATTCACTTGAGTTGCTACCCGGTACCTACTTGTATCTACCTCTCGATTCACCAGTGTTATTCAAAAGTTGAACTTCTTTTTTTGTTGTTCATATTTTTATAAACTTGGTTTATTTATTTTTGTTGGTATAATCTTGTTTCTCGAGTTTCCGAAAAAACACCTAAAAAAATTATTTTTCTGAAATTTTTTTGAAGGTTCCGATTTTTTTTCGAAATCTAGAAGCTTTCATAGAAGAGAATCTCGAAAAATCAACCCTTTTTTTTCATTGTTTTTGAAAATCATTTCAAAACCATGGAATCTTGCGAAGCGTTCCGTTTCGAAATTCCAGCGACAAACAGAAGAATCAATCAAAATTGGACATTTTCGGCGCCTCACATTCATCATTCGATGAATCGCTTCGAAACGTGTGTAACCGATCAACAACCTCGATTATTATTCATAATTGTCAAGGCAGAAGCTTTTGGCCTGGCCTGGGCCTCCAGGCGGCACGTGAAGAATCAAAAGAGGATAAAATGTTGTGCGCTCCACGGCTAATTACGAACGATTGAAAAAGGACACGCGGAAGGCTTTCTGCATGACTGAAAAACAATGGAATACTTGAATTTCAGAGGTTGATTAGGTAGTTAGTAGGTTTTGGAAGGGATTGTGGAAATTCCTAAAAGAATTTTCGAAGTTTTTTAGGTTTTTCTTTGAAAAATAAGAGATTCAAGAAGTTATCTCTTTGCGGTCCAAGTTGAATTTCCAAAGACATTCAAGTTGTTTTGGGTCAGTGGCCCTTCCTGTGACAAAAATTTTTTTTCCTTGAAATTTTTGGAACCAACTATATTTTAAGATGAGTTTGTATATGAAGAAAAGGATTTTCTGTTGTTTTTTTATTCAATTTTTTTGTTAGGATTTTTGATTGTTACTAGCCAAACCAAATCTACTTTTTGGAAAATTTTCGCTTGTCTAAGTGTAAAAATCAGACTCTACTGTAGCAATGATCAAATTTTACGCTTTCTTAACATTTCAAACTGTAGCCAAAGCCAAAATTCGCTACAATTTTACGCAAATTTGTCGGAATTTCGGAGCGCGCGAATGGTCCGATTGTGTGACTGGAAAAGTTCAACAAATTGGCCATTTTGAAGCGATTGAATTGGACACACGGAATCAAAATGACAAAGAGGTTACCTTGACGCCTTTTTCGGGTTGCGATTCGATGATCAAACGATGTGTTGACGCATGACGCATCCTACGCGCTCAATCTGGCTAATTAGACCTGGAAATCGTGGACGTTTCACTGATTTTTGGGGGTTTCAAGCCGGTGAAATGAAGGAAATCAATTTCTATGCGAAGCTCTTTTTGACTACTTGGAGGAAAAGCTGAAGTTTTTGAAAAGTACATAAAAAAAAAGAAATTAAAAATGATATTTAAAGAGCGAAGACCTGAAAAACTGCATTTTGCAGAAATTTCATTCCTTCAAAAGGTTCTTTCTCAAGCTTTTTTTATTTATTTTTCCATTCAGTTTGAGCCACTATCATGAATTTTCGAGCGAATTGTTCTGCACATCCTAATCAAAATGATCCGCTTAATCTTCCTTCAGTTCCTACCGCGGTGGATACTTTCCCAGAGGCTCACCGAAGCCAACCAAAATCGCTAATGATCAAATGGTAGTGGAAGATGAGATGCGCGAGATTATCTTGTTTTTGGTGGTCCTTTTCGGTCGGCCGTCTCCCCGACATGAAAGGACGCCAACCGCAAGTCGTCAAAATGCTCGTTATACAACTGCGGGAACATGTTGCGACAACAAAGGAATAGAGAGAAAAAATCAAATTCGAAAAAAATTGGAGCGGACTTTTTTCAGCTGCAAAATTGATGAATAGCTATTGGAAGCGGGAAAAAACTGATTATTTCAGCTCCATTTTCAACTTTTTGAGCAGAGAAAAAGTTTGATTTTTTAAGAAACAAATATATGAGAGTGAAGAATTCAAAGTGTAGCGTCATTTTTCGAGTTTTGAGCATTTCAAGAAATGAAATTAGGATGAACAACTTTGGAAGATGTTGAGGAGAATCTTCTGAGCATTTTTAGCAGTCTTGATTATCAATTTTGCATTGAATGTAAGGGGATGTGTAACTATTTTTTTGAGAAAATTTCTGCTCGAAAAGAGAATTTAGTTAAATTTGTCATACATCTTGTCTTTGTCTTTTGAAGTTCAAATGTACATTTTCAGGTGCTCAACGTATCTTCAAATGAACTGACATCACTTCCAAGAGATCCGAACTGCATCGCCCAGCAACTAATAATCATTGACGCTTCTTTTAACAAGCTGGAGGCTGTCGAGTGAGTTTTTTTTCTTTTTGAAAAAAAAAATGAGCAAAAGGCTGTATATACATAAAAAAATAACTTCTTTTTTGATTTTTCTTTTTATCGTGATTTATCCTGAATTCGAAAACACTCAGAAAAAGCTTTATTCTCTTTTAATAAAAAATAAAATTTCTCAGTGATTTCATCGCTGGAGCCCCAGCCGTTCGTCAGTTGTCATTGGCGCACAATTCCATCGAATTTCTGGCCCTCGGCGATTCGACTCCGTTCATGCAACAACTCGACGTTGAAGCCAATAAGATTTTAGGAGTTGTTAATAAGCTGCCAGGTAATTTATTAGAAGAATACCTGAAAACCGAAAATTCAACTCCAGAAACACTGGTCCACGTGAACTTGGCCAGGAACAAGTTGGCGGATATTCCCGAGGCGGTTTATGAACTCGCGCATCTGATCTCTTTGAATGTTTCGGGGAACACCATCAGTGGACAAAATGCGTCGGCTTTTGGTCAGTTTCAAGCGAAAATGGTGATAATAGTGTTGAATTTTGTTCCATCAAGACTTTGATCTGTGTTGAGAGGACGCAATACCATTTTATATCAGAAAAATAAAAGACAGTGAGTTTTCAGCTTGATTATAATCCCTAAGAATGTAGAAGTTTTTGTTGAATCTTCCAATGCGTGTGGAAGGCCATCAAGATTCCAGCTCAGACCTTACCAAATTTTTTTTTGAGTTTCGTTAAATTTATTCACTCCTTTCGAAGTTTTTGAGAGTTAGTTAGTCTGATTAGGCACTTTTGCGAAATTTCCAAGCTTTCCAAAACTTTTCAAAACTTCCTCAGCTTTTTTGAAGTCTCTAAAAGGAATTTTCTTCAGAAACCCCAGAACTAGAGTCTCTGGACGCTTCTCACAATCAGCTGGCGTCACTGCCTACTGAATGGCTGAAAAATACGGAAGCGTCGATTGTTCATCTCCGACTTCATGACAACAACATCGAGGCGATCCCGCCAAGGTCCTTCGCCAACGCGACCAGCTTACAAACGGTATATATTTATTTTTGAAAGAATAGAAAAATAAGAGAATTATTTTTTAAAACGTGTGAGTAGGTTAAACTTTTTGAGAATGTATTCAAACTTGAATTTATTCTTTTTTTGATTTTTGGTAACTTGAAGATTTTCTGTACTCACAGAAAGTATAGTTCTGAAAATGATTGAAGCCAATGTGCTTCGAAATAAGGTTGATTTTCGGGATTGTTAATAGGTTTATGGATTTTTCAAGGCTCCAGGGTTTTTTTAAGATCGTTTAGCGGGAAAGACCTCAGTTAGATGTTTTTTTAATTTATCAAAGAGAGATGAATTTTGTTGTGACGCAGTATATTGACAATGAACTTAAGGTGAAAGGCTATAATTTGAATTCAGACTATTCTTAGGTTCTTATTGGGCTTTTCAAGATCCCTGAGGTTTCTAAGAAAAGCGTAGATCAAAGCCTCAATTCTCCCTATTTCCCCCAATTTTCACGAAGATTTCTTGGAATCCGAATCGATATGACTAATGAGCTTCTTTTCATGGTCCATTATGAAATTGACATTTATAATACCTCGCTGCAGAGGTAATTGGGAGGCAGGTGAATCTGGCCGTTTTCACAGGTGGTTTGACCGCGAGGCTCCCCCCTACCAACACTATTATAAATGGGGGTGGCTCTTTCCTTTTCATGATTTCCGTCGTCGTATGTTGCCAGCCAACCACTTAATGATATGGTTGGCTGGCAGGGACTGTTTTGGCTTTCTGGGGCATTGAAAAATGATTTATAGTAATATGAGAAGAGAATTATTGGCATTATTTAGTGATTTTCAAGGGAAATTTAGCCTTTTTCGAAAAAAAGCTTATCCAACATATTTTTATTTTTATAATTTCTTGAATTTATAAATTTTTTGTTTTTTGAAATGTGTGGTTTTCAGTAGAAGAAGGCGATTCGGGGTTTATCGATCTTGAAATAGAATTTTTAAAAGAATGTAGTTAGTTTCTGAACTTTAATGTGATTCATTTTAATTCGACGACTTTCATTTTTTCAAACTCGAAAATTTTCATTTTTGGATCTTACACCTCTATCAAACAGTTTGAGGGATTGAATTTAAAATTTCCGAAAGATGCTATGAGTACTAGAAAAACTGTGCATTCAAGTCGATTCACGCCTTTTTTGGTTAATTACCAGCTTCACGATCCATTTCCTACGCCAATCCATCCATTGAGGTAAATGATACGTACACAAATAGTTATATTATTATTGTTAATGACATGTTTGGCCGGGAGGTTGAGGATGATCCTCCTCTTCATCATTGTCTCAGGTCACAAAAAAGACAGAGAGACTGACAACACCTTGCCTTCTTGAGGACGAGATGGTAATTTCGGCTGGGCCGAGGCGGGCAGGTGTTGACTCTTCTTGACGCCTTCTTTGTCCGATGTGTCAATGGCAACATTTTTTGTGGACGTTTTTTGGGGGTCTTCTGGAAGTCGGTTTGGACATTTTTGAAGGTTTTTAGAAGAAGCTGAGCGGATTCCCGCAATTTCGAAGTTTTAAAATCATTCAAGGCTTCCGTAAACATTCCTGGACCGATCATTTTACAGTTTTGAAATAAATTGAGCCTCTAAGAGAAACTGGACTGACATTAGGACTTTCAAAGCTTTTCAAAATATGTCTTCTTGACGCTTTTTTATAAGTTTCAATGCTTCAGGAAAGTTCAGACGTTAAGTTGTATAGAATCTGTTTGAAAGTTTTTCAGACTTTTTGACGCTATTTTATAATAATTTATCGAATAGAGAGCGAATTTGAAAAAAAGTTTTCAGTACAAATAGTCTTCTTTCATCAGTTCTTAGACCTTGACGCCTTTTATCTACACGACTCGATCAGTCCGATGTCAAGAGCATAATGAAAGGTTGATGTTTGTCCGAAAGAATTGCATAATGAGATGGTCAAAAGAAGGGGACAATGGTATAGTGAAGCAGGCGGCGGCCTTTTTTCTGGTCGGGCACCTTGAAATGTGTTAGCCGACACACATCATTACGCAATCTGTGTATGGAGATGACTGGCGACTCGAAGAGATTATGAGGAAGGAAATGAGAGGAGAAGGTACGGTTGTATGGTCGGGAATACCAGAAGTTTTCGGAAAAGTGGATTAAGTAACCGGAACCTACCGAATAATGGTCTAGAGGACTTTTTTTCTGTGAAGATATAGCTCAACAGAATCAAATTTTCACTTTTTTTTTTGATTTTGTGCTCGAAAATCGTCGAGGCTTTTGTCAATGAAAAAGTGAAAACCATAAAAAAATTTAGATTGGATATACTTATTTTTTTTATAGATGGCTCTAAGTCTGTGAAGATCGAAGTTTGATAAAAGCTGATTTGTAGCAAAAACAAGCCTAAATTTGACTTTTTTTTAACTTCGCGACATTAACTTCTTCCACCGACTTCTGTAGAAATTTTAACGCAATTTTCAAATCAGCGTTCAATTCTGGATCTAGTAGATCTGTCATTATTTCTATTTATATTTTGAACTTCTACTGTAAGCTGAGAGCAGATACTCGACAGCTCAAATTTCTCGCTGATTTCGTTTTTAGGAAACTATTCCTTCTAATGACGTGAAAAAGTTTTTCATAATACAATTTTTAAAAAACCAATTAGTTCCGGCCCATCGGACTGTCCAAAAGAAGAACAATATGATGATAATTAATCTTGTGTCGACAACGACGTCGCTCCACGGCCAACGGCTCAAATTTCTCAATCAGTGTGACCCTGACATGTGTAAGTACATGCAGGCAAATGTGTGGAGTGGAGGTTAAGAGTCGGGAGAGCTCAAGTGGCCACTCGAGGGACACATGGCGCGTGCGCCAGGTGAAAGGTTAGGTATGATTTTTTCGATTAAATTAGGGACCTTTTGGTGGATAAGTGCTTTGAGAGAAGATTTGGTGGTTTCGAGGTTCCGGTAAGTAGTTTTCCTTGAGAAAAAAAAAACAAAACAAAAAAACAAAGTCTCGAAAGGTTTTAGAGATAGTCTGAGGAGCTTGAGATTAAAAGATTACTGTAGTTCATTTTTTATTTAATACGGTATATATTTATGCAGTTTCCGAACGGTTGAATTGGAAAAGTGAAGAAAAAATGACTTCAAGCTTGATGAAAATAATATCTCCCGGTTAGATTACGGTATTCGTTTTCTCTGAGGTTTTGGGGTTACTGAACCATTTTATGATTTTTTTGAGATTCCGTCAAATTTTAGTAATTTTTGATTCGCATAATATTTATTTCTTCAAGATTACGGTAGTCATTTTTCTCGGACGTGCTGATTTCAATTTTTAGATTTTGGTACTTATTTCTATCTTGAAACCAATATTATTTGCCTCTCATGTGCAAATGGTCAAGAGGTTGGTCCACGAGGCAAAGTAACCCACCAAGGATAAGTAGTCGTGCAAATATCCTCCCAACAAGGATTGTTCTCACTGCCAAACCTTGTCATCAAGTATGTTGACAAGTTCTTCAATAAATCCTTCTGTCCGTACTTTATGAAGGTATATGTGGTTCATGAAAGTCGGTCGAACGGTCGCAAGAAACGGAAAAAAATTCGAAAATGTCTTCCAAATGATTGAAAACGTCATTATTTGTCGAAGGCGTTCATGAATTGAAAAATAAAACCCCCAATTCCAAGATGCTAATAAAATCATACTTTCTCAATAGAGAACTTTTGAGCTTCGAAAAAAGCATTATTATACGAATTACGCCGGTTTTTGTTAGGGTTAGTTGTAAAATTTGAAAGAAAAAAATTTGGAATGCGTAGTTGCTAGGAACTTGGGAGTAGAGCAGACTTGGAAATCAAGTATAGCGCCCGGAAAATGAATCGCTTTTTGTCATAGGAATATGAGCCACTTTTGGCTGATGCCACATATTTCAAGTGTATCTATCGTCTTAAAAACGGACTCTTTTCGGTTCCAATCTGCTGAATGATAATATTTCAAGGGTATAATCGAGTGGGAGAAGCAGAGAAAAAACAATTATTTAATTAGATTATTTTTTTAGCTCGACGTCTCTTCCAACCGAATCCACGTGTTGCAAGACGAAAGTTTGTCCGGAGCCAGCCGTCTGAACTCGTTGGCCTTGAAGAACAACTCCTTGGAAGTCGTTGAACCAATGGCTCTCGCTGAGCTTCAACTTGGTTTATTTTCATCTCCCCTCGAAGAATAACCGAACATTTTGCTTCAGAATCACTCGATTTGTCACGAAACTCGTTCACCGAGGTTCCAGCGGCCGTCGGGCGATTGGCTAAAGTGAAACGAGTCGATTTGAGTAGAAATAAGATTAGGTTCGGAATATCAAGACTGGAAATATTGAAAATCGGAAATTTTCAGCAAATTGTACCAGTTTGTTCTCAACAAGCTCAACAATCTTCATTCGATCGATTTGTCGCACAATGAACTGCAGAGTGTTAGTTTTTTGTTGAGAAGCTTAGAAGCAATAAAAAGGGGCGCCCGACTCTTTTCGGGTTTTTCTTCGACCGAGGGACAGAAATAGGGGCAGAGAGTTGTAGAGAAAAATACTGTTCTCAAGTCGGGAAATTGCGCCCGACTTCCATTGAGTTTTCCAGAAGCTGGAGACAAGAGATGACAATGAAATGAATAAGTCTCCTATCTGATAGGCTCTTGCGGAATTCACGAACTGTCGGGTGCAAAAAAGCTCCTAACTTGAAAAAAACTTTAGTGGCCACTTAAGAGGTTCCTCTAGGACTACTTGCAGAGGGCGGTAACTTGGCTACTAATACTTAATCTATAGAAGCCACTATCTTGCTTTGTAGTGGCCACTATAGTAGTTTTCAATAGCCATTTAGTTTTTCAGTTTGGACAGAGTATACTTCAAAGCGAAAATAATTGAATTAAAAAAAAAAACGTCAATTTTTATCGATTTTTGTTTCAGATTGGCCCATTCGTCTTTTCCGACAGCGCTGAATTGACTTCTCTGGACCTTGCCAATAACCATATTTCTCTACTTTTCAAAGACGCCTTCGCCAAGTGTCCCAAGCTGCGGAAACTCAGCTTGAAATACAATCGATTAAGTTAGAAAAACTCCAGAAAACCCGATCAAAAAAACTCAAAATTTGCAGAATCCCTCGATGATGGTCTGGCCCAAGCCGCCGGAGTCAAAAGGCTAGATCTATCGAATAATGAACTGAGCGTGTTGCAATGGAGCACACTTCCTCCAAATGTCGAGCATTTGATCGCCGATGAGAACAATATCGCTCTTCTCGGAGCTGTTTCGGGATCCAAGTGAGTAGAACAAATACAATAAACATTGAAATTGAAAATAGGTGCCTAGGTGCAGGTTTCGAAAACATTGGAATTTGATTTTCCGATTCAGGAGTTTTTTCAGCATTTGAGAGTTTGAGACTGATTGTTTATTTATAATCATTGCTTGGAGGCTAACGTTCACAAAAAGTTCTTCAGATTGAAGACCGTTTCTTTGGTCGGCAACGTGATCGCTCAACTCAGCGCGGATCAACTTCCGAACTCGATCGAGAGCCTCGATTTGACTGCAAATCAAATTCGGCACATTGCAAAGGGTACGTTGATTTTGGGTTCTGTAGGTTACTATAAATCTACTTCTTTCGCCTGTTTCGGATTTGAATCTTTCCTATTTCCAGTTGCAGTTTTGATCAGCTATTTCAAGTTACTATAGTTTTTCAGATTTTCACAGTTTTCCCAGAGTTTTTGTAGAACGATATATATTTTATCTTGATTCGAGCTTTTTTTCTGAAAGAATACCATCCTTTTTCCAGGGACCTTTGCCGCGAAATCATCGCTTCGTCGCGTCGCACTCGAATCCAACAAGCTGACGGCGATCGAAGCGACATCGCTCCGCGTCAACGAGGCCGTCCATCCGCTGAGAGTGACTCTGGCCAAGAACCCACTTCAGTGCTCTTGCGAGATGACCTGGATCGTCGGAGCCGCCGTCGGAAATGTCCCTGATGTACTTTTTAAAGAATTTTTTAAAAGGATTTAGAGCTTTTTTTCAAACCATAAGCTTGCTCTATCGATAAAATCGCATGATAGAAGCATTTCAAGTCGTTTTTCCTATTCATCCGAGCAATGATTTTTTTAAATGTCTAACTGTTTGAAAGTTGATTGATAACGAATCTTTTTATTTTCTTCTCAGATTTTTGGTAAAATATTTGTTTTAGAAGCTCGTCCGTGTCGTCGTGGAAGATCGTGCCAATGCCACCTGCCGTCATTCAGTAGATGATCGGGTTCTGAAACTCGACGAGCTCAGCAAGAACGACATGCTCTGTCCCTACGCGCAAGTCTGCGAGCCGGAGTGCGTCTGCTGTCAGTACGGCAACTGCGACTGCAAGTCGATCTGCCCGGCCGCCTGCCGCTGCTTCAGAGATGCCACCTTCGCCATAAACATCGTCAGATGTGACGCCAATCACACTGAGACGGTTGGTAGAGCTTCGGAGGCGTAGTAGCGGCGAAAAATAGGATTGCAGACTTTTGTAAAGCTTTTCTCGGGAGTCAACACGAACTTATTTACCGTAATCTATACTTTTTAGCAAACATGATTCATTATTGAAGAATTTTTCACAGTTTCATCCTAATTTCAAACTTTTATATTATGAGACATAGAGCAACTTTGCTGCAAAGTACACTTTAAATAGGGATCTAAACTTTTTTTGTATCTGAACTGGTTTTGTTTTTCAAGAGCGAAAACTTCAGTAGAATTCAATTAGATCATTTGTCACACAATATTAAAAAATTTTTTTCTATCAGATACCCCATTTCTACTGCGCTTTGAGGACTATAATGAAATAGTTGAAAATTTCAGCCACGTCGAGAATTCGTCGTTTCCGAAGTTCCTGTTTACGCGACTGACATTGTGCTGTCCGGGGTCGCCCTCCCACAACTTCGAACTCACGCATTCATCGGACGACTCCGGCTCCAGAACTTGAGAATTAATGGAACTGGCCTTAGATCTATCCAACCAAAAGCCTTCCACACCTTGCCGGCTCTTAAGGTAGGAGAGTTCACAGTGGATTTGAAAAGAAACTGTTTCAGACACTGGACCTGTCCGATAACGCTTTGTCATCATTATCCGGTGATGAATTCATGAAAACGACCGACGTCGTTCAGCTTTTCCTCAATGGGAACAGGCTGAGCTCGCTGAGTCGGGGAATATTCGAGAAGATGCCCAGCTTGCAGTTTGTGAGTTTCTTAGATCATCATTGAGAAAGATTACATGCAAATATATGGAAGAAAAATTGGGATGATGAAAAAAAAAAAGAGGGCAAAAACTTAGAGAACATAATTTTACGGAAAAAAGAGATCTCTTGCATAAATAAGATTTCAATAAAAACTTTGGAAACATGTCAAGTTGTAGAGATGAAGAGAGGACCCTTTTGCAGATCACTCTCCACAACAACTCGTTCGAAGACGTGCCAGAAGTCCTATCGCAGGTCGCCTCATTGAGGTCGATCTCCCTGGCCGGCAACCCACTCCGTTGCGACTGCTACACCAACGCGAACGCTGAAGAGGGCGTCGCCGGCGACAGCCAACCGTTTGCGCGAATGGGCAGAAGGTCGCTGGAGACGTCGTCGTCGTCGCACAACGCCGCCGCCTGGATGCACGCACATCGAGCCCTGGTCCACGACGCGGCGCTCGTTGAGTGTGTCGAGAACGTGACGAGGGCCTTCCGCGACAACGACACGACCGTCCTGTCGGCCTATCCGCCGAACAGGGACCACGACGTCTTCGTCATGTCCATGGATGGTTGGTAGTACTTTTACGGATGTCTGAATCATGAAGGGTCGCTTGAGAGTCAGCGTATAGTTTTTTAGGCTTCCTGAATCTTTGAAGTGCCTGTTGAGAGTGAATTTAAAGTTTTATAGGGCTCTTAAAAAGCTGACATGATTCTCGAAAAAAAAATAATAGTTAAGTGGTCGCTCGAGAGTGGATCTGTCGTTTCTTCAGCTTTCTGTTTGAACAGACTCATTGAGAAATTTTGACGTTGTTAATTGGAGCTCTGATTCGCAGCAAAACACAAACGTTTTTCAACTTCTCAGCCATTCTTCATACGACGAGAGTTATACGAGAAAGCTTGCATTAAACATTTTTCAGAATTTCTTCGCGACTATAACGTCTCCATCTGCGTGCCGTTCTCTTCTGGCTTCTTCGGCCAGGACCCACAAAACAGCGTCCTATTCATCGTTTTCATCTTGGCCTGCGCTTTTTTGGTCTGCGCCGTCGGACTCCTCGGATTGTCCATGGCGCGCAAAACACACAACGCAATCAGCCAGAGAAGGTTTTCTGATGGATTTTTCGTGGAAAAAAACTGATCTCTGATGGTTTAGGTATAAAACGAGCTCGTTGAACTGCTCGACGACGGCTGGATCATCACCACTTCCCCTGCCGCTGATCAGCTATCACGCCTTTGTCAGTTACTCGAAGAAGGACGAGAAGATGGTCGTCGACGAGTTGTGCAGGTGAGGATGGAAAAAATTGCAGCATGTGATCTAATCTTTCATTGGGGGCTTTTTTCTTAATATTTTCAGCGCCACCGGGTCAAATTGATACGGTTGGTCGCACTATATAAAGCTTAATGCGTCGGAGCGTGTTTTTATTTATCACTTTTCTTCTTCTTCTTCTTCAAATTTTCTCATTTCCAGACCTCTTGAAGACGAAGATTACCAGCTTTGTTTGCTCCATCGAGATGGTCCAGCTTATAACTCCATGGTTTGATTTTTTAATTAATTTTCTGATCCAGGGCATTTTTTTTAGGTGCACTCGATTTCTGACGAGTTGATCGCTCAAATGGACTCTTCTCAATGCTTGATCATCGTTCTGACAAGGAATTTCCTGGAGAATGAGTGGAGGACGTTGCAGATCAAGGTATGAGATTATTTTGGCAGCACTGAGAATGCTTCGATTGATTGCGGCTGTGTAGCGGTCCCATTACTAGGGAATTTTATAAATTTGTAATACATCATAGCTATTGGTTCCAATTTCGAACGATTATAGCTTTTTTCGCGAACCTAGAGGTCACCTTTTGACTTCAGATTTGAAATCAGCGAGAAAAGTCCCATCTGATAGTAGATAGTTAGACAAGGCGACAGTTGATCGGAAGCAATGAAGACCTCCAAAAAGAGCATTAATATCTCCATTTGTTTCAGACCTCCCACCAACTTTTCGCCAAGAACCGATCCAAACGGCTGATCGCAGTCCTCGGCGAGGGCGTCGACGCGAATCTGATCGACGACGAACTCGGCCAGATCCTCCGGAAAAACACGTGCATCGGCATGCGCGACCATCTCTTCTGGACACTCCTCCAGTCGGCCTTGCCCGCAAGAATCCCGCCGCCGCCCGGATCTGATACGTCACAAGTCTACTCGGATGTCTATGGAATTGTACCCTCGGCTATGGTGTGATTGAAAGGAAAGTGGTAGAAGTATGATCTTTGCGGGAGTTACGAGTTTTGTGTTGGGAAAGCTTCTTCGAAACTTTAGTATGACTTGGAAGAGATTTCTGAAGTTTGTATCGGTTTCCAAGCCTCTATTTAAAATAAGATGACTTTTCGTTAGTTTGAGATGCTATAAGGATATTTTCTTCGAGCTTGAAACTTTTTGGGAAAATTTCATGACCTAAGAGAGGTTTCCTACCGCAAAAACCCAAAATCCGCGTAAAATCAAACTTTTCCAATTTCTCGAATATTGTCCGATACGGTTGTAACCACCCCGGTTCCCAATTCCAACTTTTTCATTATTTTTTTTTTTACAGAAACTCTTCTAATCTTCTCCTACACTTTTTCTAGTCTCACTATCGAGGTGCTCTTTTTTCCTTTCTTTTTTTCTTCTATTTTCCATTTTCTTCCCGGGTCCGCTGCTGCTCATTTGTTCAACGAAATCTCTTTGGCATAATTTTTTTTTTCGAGATTATTCTTTCCTACAGAGCTTCTTGTCGAATATATTCATATTTCTGATTTGGTACAGGGTTTGATTTGCCTAATTTTGCCTATTTTTGCGGTCTTTCGCTTCTTTTTGGACCTAATTTCATTCATTTTTGCCGGTAGTGTTTTTCTTCTTGCATTTTTTTTCAAGTAATAATTTTTTCCATGTGGCCTCAGGCTTTTTCTTGTCAAGTTGCGGCGTATAGTTATGATGCTTGTAAAGCTTCTTATATGTATATAATAAAGATGCCCTACTAAATCGAGTATTCTGGTTTTTTGCGTTGATTAATCCGAAGTACTTGAAAAAATCGAAGCAGTCTGGTTTTTTTGGGCTCTCTTGTTTTGATGTTATTTCTATGCTTTTATGATCTTGTAAGGGAGGGAAAAGAAAGCGCAGACAAGTCAGAAATTTTCAAGTCACGACTTTGTTCCTAATTACACAAGAAAATCATCATTTTGTACTTTTTTTGGCATTTTCTTATTTCCAAACTCATGGAAAATTTCAAAAATGATCTTGAATTTCAGTAGAATATTTTTTGGCTTGAAGAAATACTCCAAAAAATGATAGAAGTACGTTTCTAACATATATTTAGTCTTCCAAATTTTTAAGGTCTCTGCGATTACGGGAAAAAAGATTTTAGGTTTTTGAAAAAGGGGAAAATTCGAAATTAGCGTAAAAATAAGTGCACTTGGCCAACCTAGCCTGAGAATTATCTGTGGAGCGAAAATCGCCTTTATTAAAGGCCATTTTTCCCAAGGATCCTTGGAATATTCTTTGATGTTTCATCGTCTTCCCTTCCTTATCCGTCGGCATATCGGTGGAGAGATTCCACCGAAAACTGGTCCATTCGGACGCTGCCAAATTCGCGCCAATGCCAACTTCCCTTCATTTGAGGCTCGTCTTTTTCCTTTTCCTTTCAATTTTCTGCGTGCGTGAGCGTCGATTTATCATGTGAATCATGTGTGAAGAATGAGAAAAATCAATTTTTCCAAGTTATAGATCACTTTTAGGTGCGAAAATTCAATAAAGACCAGTTCAATTCCTCGCAGTTTGGCGCAAATTTTCTTAAAAGCGTGAGGTTTATTTGTTGATTTGATGTATTTCAATGGAGGAAATTGAACATTCATATTTTGAGTCTCATTTTTGTCTAATAGAACAAGAAAACTCTCAAAAATGAATGAAGATTTAAAACATCTAGTTCTGATGTTTGATCCAAGTTTTTCACTAGAGAGCTAAGTTTTCAAGAAAAAAAGTCGATATTTTTTTTAAGATAAAGTAGTCTCTTGAAATAAGAAGCTGTCAAAACCTCTTTTTTTCGGAAACTATATGATATATCACATTCCGTTCCAAGCCATTTTTCTAAATATTTTCTCAAGGCAGCGATGAATGAAATATTAGGTTTTTCTCGATTTTATTCCGAAATTTATTATTTACAAAGCAAAGATGTTCGATTACCCTTCAATTTTCACTTACATCCAATTTGCCAAAAGACGATAATTGATCTGGTTTTTTTTTCATTTTTTTTTTTGTTTTCCCCTGAGGCGGCGTTAGTTTTCTAATTGCCCGCAGGGCGAACTGTTGCGCAGAAAAATTATTTGTATTCATACGAATCCGACCGGTCATATTATTGCTTTTCTCATCTCATAAGACTATATAAACCTTTCTTGAAACTTATTTGATCGTTTTTTTTTGGCTTTTTTTCATTTCTTAACATAGTTCAATAATGGCTCAATTTTACGATTCAAGTGTCTTTTGGTTGGTCACGCCTTTTTTAAAATTTTCTTGACGGTTCGTGATGCATCCGACCCAGAACGACTTGCGCCAGTTAGTATGATAAAGAGCTCAACATTTTTTTGATAATTTTTTTTTTCTCATTTTTTATCGCTTTTTAGACTTTTTTTTCTTTTGACTCGTAATTTTAATGGGTTAGCCACGCCTTTTACCGAATTTTTCCAAGCTGTCGTTACGCGAAGAATTCAATAAAGCTTCAAAACGTTAAATAAAAATGCCTAGCCATTCCAAATGCAACTATGACCTCTTGCCGTTCGTCAAAAATTCGTTGGCTTTTAGTCTTTGTATAAATAAAAATTTTCAGAATGAATAAACTGTTTTCAGAAATAACCAGCCAAAGAGTATGATAAGAAGTCTTCTCTTTCCGTTTAATCCCAAAAAAATTGGATTGAAAAAAAGGGAAGAGGGCAAAAAAACAAGAATATTGCAGCGGGGCGCCGTTGGCACCGCAACTTTCGCTCCAATTCAACCAGTTTTGTCTTCCCCCTCTCTTGACCAGGCACAGGACGTCTTCACCACGCACACTTCACATGTTTACTGTTTCTTTTTATAGTTCATAATAATAATACAAGTTAAAAACAAATATCAAGGATCTATAATGGATTATATTCGGAATAACTGGAATATATTTCTCCATTTTTTGAGTTTTTTGCTCGTATTTTCGTATCCTTGGTCTTCGGACTTCAAAGATCAGTTTTTTTATTTAGAATTTCGGAAGAAACTGAAGATTGAAAAGCAAATTCGATCCAAAAAAAGAGTCAATTATTCGTTTTTAACCGTAGTTTCGGTAAATTTAATATTCCGGTAATTTTTTTCATTTCCAAAGCTTATGAGAAATTTGAGAAAGAGTTTCATAGATTTTCAAGGTCTCCATATTTTCAATGAGTTTTTGGTTTCAAAGGAATTTTTTTGAACTTTACTGAAATTTTTTTAAAGGACCAACTTTGAGGTTTTGAAAAAAACTTTGAAATTTTTTTCAACTTTTGATATTTTAAAAACAAAAAAATTGAATCTTTCACTAGCTTCTCGCCACAAAAAAATACTTTTTGAACTATTTTATCATCATTTTCTTAATAATTAAAAAGAATAGAAATTATTTGAATAAAGGTCTCGATGCGAAGAGCCGTCTGAGGGTTTCAGACAGAAAAAGGAATTTCTCTCCTGTTTCTTGAACTTTTCAGAACGTAGACGAGGACAATTCAAAAATCAGTACACCAAGTTTTCTTGTTTTTCGACCTTGTCACTCTGTTTTCCTTGTTTTCTTCAACTTGTCTTGAATGTTCACCTGTTATCACGTTTTTTCATTCCATCATTCTTTCGGCAAATTGCGCCAAAGTTTGACCACAATCTTACCTCTTTGGCTATTTTTGACTTTTGTCCGATATTTCATCGAAATATTTCAAACTTTCTAGAAGAATTTAAAGAAATTTTCAATTATTTTAGTGTTGGAAATCGGGAAAAATGGTTATTAAAGGGCCAAAAAGGACGCTTTTGCCGATAATTCAGTTTTAGGTCAACATAAGTTTTTCGCGTTAAAATTATGCCCAGTTTTCTTACTTACGCGGTTTTAACTGTCCTAAGAAGCTGTAAGAACCTTTTATGAGCAACTATAAAAGCCTCTCGCGAAAGGCCTTTGAATAAATGAACATTACATTCAAAACGGCTCTTCGCTTCGAGGTCCATATAGAAATTTTCATGCTCCTTTAAATGTTTAAGCAAAACTTTTTAATATACTAAAATGTATCATAAGCGCAGTAAACTGAGAAAGCTTTTTAAAAAAAAAAAACAGATTTGAAATAAGTCTCTTGCTGAACAGAATGATTACCTTTCTTCCTTCGAAACGCTCCTCAGCAAGCATTTTTCCGCTTGCAAACCACCCATACTGCCATATTTGGGCAAACATCCCGTCGACGTTGGCCGGCCATTGTGGCCCTCTGCGTTCGTCTCGGAACCTTGGCGACGGATTATTCTCCGACCATTCCCCATTCCTCTCTATAAACGCCCATTTTTGCCTCTTTTTGACCTTATTTGAGGCTTGTGCGAGGGCCGGCCCGTCAGCCTATCGGCCCCGACCATTTTCTGAGCCCCGCCCAGAAAAGTCTAATTTTTTCCAAGTCTAATATCAAGCTTTTTTATGAAAAATTTCACGTTTTGCTTTTTTTCACTGAGCTTTCAACAGAAACTATGATTCAAAAAAAGAGAAAAATTAATTTTCAGTGAAAAAAATGTTTTCAAATTAAGTTTTTGTTTTTCAAGCCCGGACTGGACCAAGCCCGCTCAGGCTAAAAGCTTTTTCTCAAAAATTAGGCCTAAAGCCCGGGCCAGATCGCCCGGCATGACGCACGGGCCTACTTTATTTTTTCGTATGTTTGTCCTTTTCCCCTTTCTCATTTTCAAATATTTCCCTATGATTTTTCCTCGTTTTTTTCAATCGATAAATGTCCCCTTTTATTAAAAATCGTTATATTCCCTACCGAAACGGCGAAATATGTTTTCAACGATACTTTTTGATCAGGAAGTTGACCCAATATTTTTTCTGACAAAGTTCTGAATACAACACAAACAAACCACACCTGTTGGATGTTGGGAGAATTCTGTTTTGGTGACCATTTTAAGATCGGCGCGTGCCCAAATCGCTTGTTTTTCTTCTTCTTTCCCTTCTTGCGCTCGACTTCCAACTAAAGTTCAATTTACGTTCAGGAGAGGAAACCCAAAAAGGGCAAGGGTAGGAAATTGTTTAAACATCAAAAAAAAATTCTTGTCGTTCGGAAACTTATCTGACATTTGTTACTCAAATGCGCTCTACTGAACTTTCCTCGGACATTCGAAACGCGAAACGGACGTTTCTGGGCAATTCTGGGGATCACATAAGAGTCTGTCGCTACTAAAGTGGTCACTAGAAATGTCCAGAAACGTCCTGAGCACGTCCGTTTTGCGTAACCAATGTCCGAGCGGTCTTTTTTCTTTCTTCATTTCTTCAATTTTTAATTTCAATAACAAATTTCTTGAAAATCTTATTTTTTGTTTTTGTTAACTTTTTTCTGGTTTTATCTTTTCTAATTTTCATTTTTTTTTACGAATCTTATGCGTAAAACGGAATAAAACTTTTTAAAGGAGAATTTATCGGTGATTCATTGCTTTTGATATCATCAAAATGAATTGCAACTTCGAAAAAAAAACGTGATTTTATTCATTTTATTTTTTATTTTTTCTCTCTCATCAATTACGGCGAATTGAGTCGAAATTAACGAATATTTTTTTATTTGTATTTTTTTCATCGATATACTTTCCTTATTCTACTCCATACATATTTAATTTTTTTAACTTTAAATCTTAAAAAAACTGAATGTTTCGCACCGTCGCTTTTTTTAAATATTTTTTTCTCAGTTCTTTTGGTCCTATTTTTTTGAACTCGCATTTGTCATATTTTTTTGTCATTTTTTTCAAGTTTTAATGCTTAAACAAGTTATTTCAGGAACAATCCCAGGCCAACAAATGACCAAGTGAAAAAAATATACAACTAAATAAATAAAAAAATGTGGGATCAACTCAGTTCGTACGTTGCGCGGCTGCTCGCCTCCTATCCATATCATTCAATTTCAGGTTTTTTTTTTTATTCAAAAATTCGAGAGAAATGTGTTAAGAAGTGAAATAAATAGCTTTTTATTGAATAATTAGTTAAAATAAATTAGGAAAAATAGTCTCTCAAAACGCGGCCTTTATAGGGATTTTTTTTTTCGTTTTTCTGTTTTTTTTTTATATTGCAATGAATTGAGAAAATATGGTGTTTTCCTCGGAGAAATAATTTCTGGTCAAATTTTTTCAGCCAGCGTCCTGTTTTGCGTATTGATGACCGGAGGCCTGGTGCACATCAAATTGGAGCAGGATATTCGGGCGTCTTTTTCGCCTGTTGGCTCAGAAACTGAATAGTGAGTGTGATAAATCATTTTTCTTTGAAAAGAGGAGACCAAGAGGAATCGATTGATATCTGATTGGAAAGATAAAAGTTAGATTGATGGAAATTGTGATTAATCACCTTTTTGAAAATTTTTGGCTTTCTTCTGTTATAATACAGGAAATATATTCTTTCTATCGGATTTTCGGGGTATTCGTGTTCATTACTTTCAGTGAAACCGAGGTTTATCTCGACTTTTTCAACCTGACGGTCTACCCGGAAAGAGCCTTCCTCATTTTCACCGCACGTGGTGATAGCAACGTCCTGGCGCCGCAAAATTTGAAACATGTCCGTTTTTTTCGCCAATCGTTCATGATTTCAAAAAATTTGAAGGAAAATTGATCATCGTAAAATTACTCTGTCATTTCAGGAGCGGGTATTAATTTTTTATTTTCCGAATTTTTTTCGGCTTGTCGCTTTCACTTCAATAAAATTCGAAGAATGACAATATTTTTTGAGAGAAAGTTTCCTACAAAATAATACAGTTTTTGAACTTTCAGGTCCTCGGCCACGATGCCGAGATTCAAGCGGCCATTTCCACGTTGGATCCTTCGAACCGAAGAAATTGCGAACCGCTTTGCGACCTTAACAAACCATTTCATTATTTGATTGTATGTTGTTGAATTTAAAAGCAAAAATTTTCACTAAAATTAGCTTCTTAGGGAGAAATTGAGAGAATATATTGAAAAATTTAGCATATTTCAAAAAAGGAACTTTTTGAGGATTTTTTCATAAAATAGTCAAAAAAATCCTTTTCCAGAGCCAACTGCAGCGGAAGAATCTGACAAACGACGACGTAGCCCATTTGGGATTTCCGGACACGGAGATTTTTGGGACACAAGGTCTTTCTCGGCCTTCATTTGAGCGACGTTTTGATAGGTTGCTTTTTGATCTTTAGAAAAATTTTAATCTTGGAAGAAAGTAGTTGATGAATTTTATTAGGCTTAATACTTGTGAAAATGACGATTAACTTCGAAAAAGTTATCCTATGATCTTTCATTAGGCGCAGACTTATTCTGCGCCATTTGGGTTCAGGCTGAGTTGGAAAAAAGGGCGTTTCGTTAACTTTTTCTATAAATCAAATATGTTATTCGTTGAATTTCGACAAGGAATTCTCAAAAAAAAATTTTTTTTTTCTCCTTTCATTTGAACAACGTTTGGTTGATTCTTCGAAATCTAAATAAAGATTTCGAAAGTTTTAGCTCGAGAGAAATAGAAACATGATAAAATATTTGAAAAAATAATTTACTATAAAAAAGGCACCTTAGGATCTGTCAATATTATTTAAATCTCGAAATGGGTGTTAGAGCTGTTCTCGGGGCGGTCCCGGTCGACCGAGGGCGCCCCGACCTGCGGCGTATTCGAGGGCGGCCGCGGTCGGCCTTTGGTAAGGGTCAACTCGGTCGACCCGTAGATACAAATTTTTTTTTTGATTCCCGGTTTGTTGCGAATTATAAGAAAGCGAAAGAAGCGCAAGTTTTACTGAAATGAAAGTGAAAGAAAAAAACATTTTTATCGAGCACATAAAGAAGAAAAATCGATGAAATGAGATATTAATCCAAAATTCAATAGTTTTCTAAGTGGCCAGAACAATTTACAAAACTAGAGAAAAACAAAATAATAAATAAGAGATAATTTGAAATTTTCACATCATCAGGAATTTCATTTTTCGCAAAAAAATTCATTCAAACCACTATTTGAAATATTATTTTTTTATTTACAACGAGAAAAAAACGAAAAAAAGATTCGAAAAAAGTGAATTCAAAAAAAGCCGATTTCTATCAAAAAAACAATAAAAATTAAACTTTTCATGGATCATAAATAACTTAAACATTCATTTTCAATATGAATAACTGAAATAAAAACAAAAAATACGGGAAAAAAAATTCTCGCGCTCGCTTCGGGGGCCTGAATGAAAACCGCTTCGCGGGCCGGGGCGCGTCGCGGTCGGGTCGGGGCGGCCTCGGCCAGGGTCGCCCCGACTTGAGAACAGCTCTGGGTTAAATCTTTGAGATTCAGACTTCTTTTTAGTGTTTTAAGCTTGAAAAGGTTTTTTTTATACATTTATTGATGATTAAACTTCAAAAAAGAAGATACCGAGACTGAAAAATCTTAAATTTTGTTGACGTTTTGAGCAGAGAGTCTGGTGCAAAGAATTTTCGATTTCTGAAAAATTCTTCTATTAAGAAACTTCATGAACTTTGATAATATATGATCATATTTGCCAGATTTCAAGAATTTATCGCATCCGATGAGCGCAAAAACCATCATTCTTTGGTATTTTTCACGGTCCGACAGTCCTGCAGCGAAAAGCGCCTTCGGGGTTCGGCTTCTTCCATTTTCAGGCGTTACTTTCAATTTTCAGAAGAAAATCAACGAGTTGTTCGAGCTGAGCATGAACGAAGAGCTGTACGAGGAGATCGAATTCACGGTTTTCAGCGATCAAATCGCGAATCGGGAAATGATCCGAGGAGCTATTGAGGTCGAGTTTTGAAGCCGTTGATTTCAAAAAAAAAGGAATCACAAGAAAAATTTTGGTTAGGAAAAGCTTGAAACAACTGGAAGACTTATGATATTGAAGTATCAAAGGGAGGAAATGATTTTAAGTCAGAAGGGCGTTTGTTTTGTGAATTTTTAGGGGAAAAGTGCGAATTTCGGAACCTTTGTGAACATACTTTTTTTAGATTTTGTAATATCTGATTGGAAGTTCAAAAAAAAATTGGGGTTGAAAGTTTAGCGACAAGAACTCCATTTTTGACTAGCAGTATTCAAAGTTTGTTCAAGTATTTCTTTATTACAAAAAAAGTCGGAAGGATTTCTTCGAATAATTGGCTCTACTGGTACTTGAAATTTGAGGATTCAAGCTTGAAAGATTTATTTTGTTCCGAAACTGGAATGAATAAAATATGAAATTAGATTTCTAGGCGACGACCCTGATGACGATCGGATTCTTTCTACTGCTCACTCTGACAATTATCGTCATTTGGAGACAAACTTCCATCCGTCAGGCGCCTGTTTTGGGTGAATATTATGGAAAAAGAAACTAAATTTCTTCGAATAAATTCAAAATTGAAATAGGAAAATTTCTTCTAAAAATCTTTCAAGATTTAGATTTTCCATAGTTTTATTTTTTTCCGATTTTAGATCGATGAAAAGTCATATTTTGGTTATAGCTTTTTAAAATCCTTGTTCAAGTGTTTGAAGCCGCAGAAAGGCTTGAAAAAAAGGCTTTTCAAGCTGTGCTCCTTAAAGTAAAAGTAACAACAATGTTTTTGCGAATGAAGGACGTTATATAGTCGGTTCACGGCTAGCATGAGAGACAAAGAGGCGGGGCCTGTCTGCGCTCTCTACCAACCAGTCACTATTTCTTCTTTTATCGTGTCAGGACTTTTTTTCGACGACTCAAGCCAGCCGTGAATTGTTCAAACTGTGTGGTTGAGTGTTGAATTGTAAATGATCGGATAATCAGTGGCCGTATCACTACTGACGCCGATCGCCGCGACGGTCTCCTCCTTCGGAGCCCTCTGCTGGCTGGGCCTTCCTTCCTTCTCGATCCAGTGCGTCACGCCGTTCCTCGTCCTCGGCATCGGCGTTGACGACGCCTTCATCCTCATTCACAGATGGCGTCATCATTCTTCGATCGTTGATCGGTGAGGGGTCGATAAATTTGATGAGAAGTTCTTCGACTCTTTCAAGACCTGCTTCTTGGGCAAATTTTGGAAAGAGTTTGGAAGGTGAATGGAACCTAGAAGGTCTCGAAAGTTCCAGAAAACGTTCAATAAGAAATTGGAAAGTAGTATTTGACCACTTTCTGGAAAAGCTTCCAAACGCCTTCCAAGAAAAAGAGAGCAGAAGCTTCTCACTACGCCATATATTGCCCGAGATTGAAGGTCTTCGACTACAGTTTTTGAGTCTACGTTCGAATCTTCGAAAGTGAGAGAGTGTTCGAAAATGAGAGGGCGGGTGTTTTCTCTTTCTCTGGGCACCCTCATTTTTACCAGTGCTCTCTAGCTTCGAAGGTTCGAACGTAGACTCCGGTTTTCCAGAGTGATCGGGAGGTCGGTCGCACTGAAAAAAACTTGTTTCTATGCAAATTTTGAGCCAAACCTTTTGCGGACATAGTAGATCACAAAAAAGTGACCATTTTGTCAGATTTTATAGGAAAGAAATTAAGGAATTCATGGAAATTTTTTTTTTTTAACTTTAAGGTTTATTATTTTTTCCAGAACAAGCCGCCTGGACCAAGTTATCGTGGACGTTGGCCCATCCATTACCATCACCTCATTGACCAATATTATCGCTTTTGGAATCGGATTCTTCACTCCAACTCCGCAGGTTTCACCTTTTTTTTTTGTTCAAACTTTAGAAAAACGGATTCAAGATGTCTTTGTTCTGCCTGGCGGCCTCGTTGGCCTTATTGTTCGACTACATTTTCACCTATACGATCCTGGCGCCGTTCGTTTTCCTCTCCAACGATGAGAACTACGTGCCGGTTTCGTCGAAATCCGAAAAACTGTCGCCTCATTCGTTCTTGGCCAAGGTTTTGAGCAAGAAGAGCGAGAGACCAACGGCGGTCTGAGGAGACTGTAGAGAAATGACTCTTTTTCTGCTTTTTCTCTTGGGCCTGTATCGACCTTCTAAGACCTTAAAATTCAGCGAAAATCAAGGGAGAGAAAAGTGTTTTTTGGAGAGATGTCAGACAGTGAGATTGATTGAACTTCTCTGGCGTCTCTCCAGTTTGATGTTCTTTTCATGGCAGTCATAGAACTCATATGAGTAACAGAAGCAAGAGATCAGGACCTCAAGAAGAGACACACAATGGCGAGAGTTGTCTATTTCTCTAGAGTCTCTTCATTCTGTCCTTGTCTTTTTCCCCAGTTTTTCAATAGCAGTTACTTATTACAGTACTCCCGATTCCTTTGCTCACTGAACGGCCGATTGATTTGTGGACTAGTTCTGATCAGCTTCTACGCCTTCACGACGTACGGCGTCTTCACGATGAAGGCCACTTTCGAGCCGGCCAAGGCGTTTCCTTCGAATTCTCGCCTTGTCAACGCCCTCAATGCAATCAAGTGCGATTTTTTGGGTTATTATCTGAAAAAGGAAGTCAAGCCGAATAGATAGATAAAATATACGATGTGAACATATGGTTTTGATGGGGAAAAAAATGATCTTGAAGTTGAGAGTTTGAGTTTTTTGGAACACTTTCGGGAGGTCTTCTATGATTTTTGTGATCGATTTTTTCTTTCATGCTGTCTCAAAGGTTTTTAGTGAGTCTGTATAGTTTGAACTCTCGAAAAAATCAGTCATTGATCAGAATTCCGAAAGGACTTTTTTTTTATAACCTCCTTTTAGGCCAGTTTTCAACGTCTACTTCCCGATCAACGTTTTCGTCAAATCCCCGCCAAATATTTCCAATTCTGAGGAGGTTTTTTTTTCTTTTTATTCTTTTTTTTAAATTATGTTTATTTTCCTTTGTCAGTCGATTTTTTTATAAATATTTTTTTCAGTACAAGGACTTCTATCGGATGATCGACGATCTGGAGCAAGTTCCTGGAATTTTGGGCGATAATCGAACTCTGCTGTTCCTGCCTCACTATGAAGCTTTCGATCGGAAGGTGGAGTCTTGGAAAATCACCATTTTGTTGGTACAAGCCTTGCCCGCACTTGGAATGGCTTGGAGGGTCTAACTTTTCTTTTCACGTCCTTGAGACCAAATTTGAGTGCTCGGATCGTTCCGCAAAACTTTGTAGCTCACAAATTTAAAAACAATAATTTTTAGCAGATTTCGTCAGTCAATCTCTTGAGCCGAATTTCGAGTGCTAAATTTTAAATTTCGCTGAAAACTAAAACAAAATAGTTTGTTTCCAGATCTCCTCAGTGATGAGCTTCTTCGGCGGCGAATCTACAGTATCCTACGATAACTTGCAATTTTGGCTTCACCAAATCGGCAACCCGCCAATCGTCAATTTCAAAAACGAGAACGGGTTGGTGAAAATCTCGTATTTGGAATGGCTCGAGGGTTGCCTTTTTGAAATTTAAAAAACAGAGTGTACTAAAACATTCGATGGAATATTCAAAAGTTCCAAGTCTTTCATTAATTCTCAAGAAATTCCTACTAATAATAATTCTAAAAAATGACAAAACGCCATAGTCGCATTTGGAATGGCTTGAAGCTGACTTGAGTTGTTTCTAAGGACATCGACCGCTAATATTTTATCGTTAAGTGCGTTCCGGAGCATCCTAACCATTCCAATGTGGCCATGAAATATGGAACTTGCTAAAAAGAAAGAAACGAAATAAAAAATCTGCAGAACCGCCCAACTGGAGTCGTTCCGATTCACGCTCCTTGGACGAGGCATGTCCGAGTGGGCGGAGCGAGCCCAGGCGATGCAAGACGTGCGCGGTATTCTCCGCAAAAATGCCGACAAATTCAACGTCACCCTTTTCGACGGCGATTCGGCCATTCTGTTGATGATTCTTTCGGTTGGTAAAACTCTGAAAATAGGGAAAGACGTAGGAATTCTGATATAATGGGCATCAAGATGAAATCGGTAAGGGCATACCTTTCATAAGGAAACAATTTTCGAGTCTTAATAAAGATAAATTCAAAACAGGAATGAATAAAAGAAAAAAATCGGTAAGTTTAACATTTGTCCGTGGCGTTATACAGATTTAGTTGAACAGAAAAAAAAACAAAGTTTCTGTTTTCGAAAATTAACTTTTTATTCGATTCAAACGGGTCCTTTTCATAAATTTCACGGTAAACTGCCTGGGTGACATGATCAGGCAAAGTGATCGCATTTTCCAGGTTGGAACCGACTTGATCGGGTCGATCGCTGTGACGGTGGCTTGTATGGCCGTCATTTGCCTGGTGTTCATCACCAACAGAACCGCGGTCCTTGTCATCACCTCCATGATCGTCTCCATCTGCTTCAGTTCGTTATTCTCCCGTTTTTCGTAGGATTTTTTGCAATGGAGCACCTTTGATATGATCAAAACAGCTAGATAAGGAGTTAATTATCTATTTTGCTGTTAGATTTTTTAGTAGTGCACAGATGATATATCATTTCTGTAATTATATTGATCTTTACTGCAAATTAGTCAGTTCTAAGGATCTTTAAACTGAGATTCGATTTCGAACTTTTTTGCAAGTGTATTGTTTTTCTTTTTGAAAATCTCTCTGAGAATGGTTTGTCCAGTTGTCCTTTGCGAAATTTGAACGAGTCAGAAGTCTCGCGTCCAAAATCAACTAGTGACCGGTCTCTTTAGAGTTTTTTAGTATTTTCTCAATTAATATCTGCATTTAGTGAATATGTGCTTTGTAGTGGAAAAAGTTTGGAATTTTTGGGCCTTTGAGACTCAATTTTTATCTTCATTCGTTTTAGACCAAGATTCTAGTTATAATTATTGATCGATTAGTCGAGCCGAAAGGTGCTAGGAGGGCTTGATGTTTAGCGTCTTTTTCTCTTGTATTTAGGCCTTTTTTTCAAGTCTTCATAAGTTATTTTCAGCCCTGGTCGGATGCTTGTCCTGGTGGGGAGCTGACCTGGACCCAGTGACCCAGGTGGACGTTCTCCTGGCCACGGGCTTCAGTGTCGACTACACGGCTCATGTCGCTTACCAGTACTTCCGTGCCAAGGGATCCCCTCTCGACCGTGTCCACATCAGCCTTGCCGAAATGGCCGAACCCATGTTGGAGGTATGGAGATGCTATCCGAAAAGATACGAAAATTCTTTTTTTTTCAAGTCTTCTTTGTATAAAGCTCAATCTTTCTGGAACCTTCTAAACTGTATTTTTTTTCTCTTCTGGCTGAAATCAATCAGATTTTTACAGTAATCAAAATCGTCTTCTTTTTGACTTTTTCCATGCCAGATACTCCTATAGTGTGAATAGATCTTTACCAATTTTTTTTTCATCTATTATATTTTTCAGGCCGGCTTTTCGACGTTCCTCTGCATGCTGCCGTTGATTTTCGTGCCCACTTATGCGATCGTTGCCTTCGCCAAGACGATCTTCTTGGTCGTCGGCATCGGTAAAGATCTTCTTGTTGAATATTTGAACTTCTTTTTGAAGTTCTTTCCACTCGTTTCTAATCCGGAGCCGAGAAAGCGATATTTTTTTTCGAATTCCTGAGAAAAAAACATCAGTTTCATCATCGATACGTTCATTTTGACAGCGAATGTATTTGGATGATTTTTCGCCTTGAAATGGAAATGAGTTTTTGGGTGAAATGCTCTCGAATTTTAGGAATTTTGTGTTGTGAATTGGACAATATGGAAACTTTAGTATCGTCATTTATTACATTAACTGGTATCCGAATCGTTTTCCGTAGATTCTAGGATGCAAAGTAGAACTAATTTTTTCGTTATAGTTTTATTAATCTTTGAATGTACAGCTAACTCCGCCCCCTGCAGTATCTTCCGCGTCACGACCATAATGATTTTTTGAAATATCCATCGATTTCCAGGTCTCCTCCACGGCCTGTTCATCCTTCCCGTCGTCCTGGCCTTGTTCAGCTCGGATCGGCAAGAAGAAGTCCGACTTCCGACAGTCGAGAAAGATCTCATCGCTCCGCCTCTTCTGACTGAGCCTCTCGTTGAACGGGCTCTTGGCTAAAGGATTATCCATTTCTTCTGACTTTCCCGCCCTATTTAAAATCATATGTCCCAAATCTCACGAAAGCTTGACTCTTTCCTTTCTTCTTTCCTTCCGAAAACATATCTGATTTCATCCATTTTTGCTGTAAATTTTCCTCTCATTTGTATGTTTCTTGTACAAAAATTGACCTAGATGTAGATTAGTTCTTTTTTGTTCGATCACGGGTTTTTTTCTCCGAAATGTATGTATTTTTGTACTAATTGTATTTTTCTGTCGCCATTTTTATTATTGCTTTCTCGGTTATAAACTATTATCATTTTTTTTCTATGACAAAAAAACGTCGTTTTTTTCAGTTCTTTTGATCAAAAAGTACTTTGCTTGTTGAAAGAAGCATTTTAAATGAGAGAAATTTGAAAATGATGATTGGACCGCGACGCGAAGAACCATTCCAAATGCGACCGTGACCGTCAGCAGGACGATTTCCCGGGTTAGTTAGGTTTCCATGCAAAGATATAACAATCGAAGAGTTGGAATCAATGTTTAGAATTCCAAAAAAATTGCAAAAACGTGAAACTACTTTTTAAACCTCACGTATGGACTTTTTTTTGAATTTGATACTTGGTACTTCAACGATGAATTGAGTACATATTCTTGAATTTTAACAAATAACTGAAGTAAGAAACTTTGAAAGTACGAAGTTCTCACTAATTCTTTCTTTTTTCCTGCCGAAAAACTTATCGCCGAGTTTGATCAACGCCCAAAAATGTCGGCCTTGTCTTGCCATTGTCGTCTTTTTCTTGAAGAAATTCCCGTTTACTTGAGAGTTTGTGCCGAGATTATCGAAAAAGATAAAAAATTGGCACTTTTTTCCTTGTTTACCTCCCTCATTTTGCACTTCAGAAATCAAGTAAGAGATGGGAAAAATCGAATTTTATGAAATTTTTCACAAGTTGTCCCAGTTGAGACCTCTTCTGAAGTTTTTTTATTAGATTTTATATACTCAAAAAAATTTTTTTTTCTTCCAAATTTCTCAAGTTTTTCCGGCTGGTTATCGCTTATTTTTTTATCTTTTCTCGAATTTGAGCCTTCCCAAGACCATTTTTTCGAAGGCTTGTGTAGTTTTTCCCGTAACCGTAACCTGGCTACAGTAAGAAAGGAAATAGCTCAAAAAGTTGTGTCCGCATTTCGGATTATGAACTGTCATATGGAAGGAACTTTCAGCAATATCAAAAAATAATGTTTTCGCACCCATTTTCAGTGAGAATTATAGAGACAGCAGATTAATCGATAACATTCGGGAAAAAACCTGATATATGATTGTGAAATGGGCTTAAAAATCTTTTCTGTAATTTCATCCAGGTTGAGCCAATTAATTGATTTTTCTTTTCCAATTTCAGAAGTTGTAAGGATTTTGATACTGGAAGTTTTACACAAAAAGAAATTTTTCACACAAACAGGCCGAATATTTTCCAGTCGGTTTTGTACCGAGATTGTCTTGGAAGATAAGAATTTGCACTTCCTTGTCGGTTTTCATCCTCATTTTGCACTCCAATAAGGAGGATACGGGTTTTTTTTAAATTTCAAGAGCAGCTTTTAAGATATGAAACTCATTGTTCATTTTCTGCTTTTTAAGAGAAAAAAGGACCGAATTTCTTGTTGAAACCTTTTTGGCTACTTGGTCATGCGCCTTCAAATTCTGACGCTGTAGTAATTATTGTCGAACTTATTTGAGATCTTATTTAGTTGCTACCAAGGAAAAATATGAAATCTGAAGGTAAAAAATGCGCCAAAAGCTCAATTTTCGGTTTATTTTTTATTGAAAACGAATTAAATATTTCTCGATATTATAGTTTTTTTAACTCTATAAAAAAATAGAGTTATCCAGATAGTTTTTCAGAATTTGCGAAATCCCGCCGAATTTAAATACTTTCTGTTTTTTTATTTACAATAGGTTCTAAATACTGAAGAAAAGTTAAAAATTTCCCAATATTTGCAACTTTTTTTAGTCAAATAAAAAAACAATGTTTTTTTCCTCATTTTTTTGCGCAGTCCACTTGAGTTCAGGGCAAACCCAAAAAAACTGGTTTCTAACTTTACGAAAAAATTTGAAAAAACGCTTCAAAATTATATTTCGACTCTTTTTGATTTGACAAAAATTTGACAAAAAAATGGAATAAGAAAAATTCGAAATTCATTTTTTTAAGTAAATTAATCTATTACAATTTTTTTTGTTCATAAACTCAGGGAAATTAGTAAAAAAATTCTTTCATTTGAAGTGGGCCCTCGACTGTTCTTCATTTTCAATGTCGTTTGAATCGAGTTTGGCAAATCTTCCATTTTTTTTTCTTGCCAAGGTTGGACCTTGCCGAAAAATGGCCCTTTTTCACTTTTCTTTGCATTTATATTGACGAAACAATGTAGTTTTAGTGGTTTTCAAATTAGACTCGTTTGATACTTGAAGTCTGTGAATTCGTAACTGATATTTACCACTTTTCGGATTTTCTCGGAGAAAATTTCGATTTTTCTTCTGAAATTAATGTAATTGAACCTTTGAGCTTCTTGTAATCTGAGTAATATTTTCATTTTCATAAAAAAAAGATAAAAATGGTTTTGAAAAATTACGCTTCAGGAATCGAACTCTTGACCTTTTGATCGGCTCTCTAGACCGTTAGCCACTAAGCCAAACGATCACTTGTATTCCTAAAGGAGTTTCGCTCAATTTTTTTAAATTTTTTTAAAGCTTTAAAAGTTTTATTTGGATTGTTTCTTTTGCAAATTGATTCATCAAATTTTTTTGAAACATTTAATATAAACTTTTTCATGATATTCAATAAAAAAACATTTTTTTATTCTCATGCTTTGTTATTTATCAAATAAACAGAGGAATTAGATTTCTACGCCCTTTTCTGTACTGAAACCGGAACGATTAGTTGTATTTTTTGATAAAAATGTGCTGAAATTGTCGAAATATTCATGTTTTCAAGTGCTTTTCCGTGCGGGCCAACGCCCACTTCCCGGCCTTGTTTCATAAGGTTTTAGGTCATTTCAGTTCCGTTTTCTCAATTTATTATTGTATGAACATAGTTTCTGAACCATAAATGGAAAATAAATCGACAGTAATCTTTATTTTAATCTTCTTTTCGGGTGGTCACTTTTAAAATTTTTTTGTCCTGTTTTTTGTCCGTTTTTGAAGTTGAAGCAAAGACTTAATTATTTTTCAAAATTTGATATCTCTATCCTATTTGGAATTCATTAGATTTTCGAACCAGACTATATTAAAATTTCGAAAAAGGAAGTAAGCGGAAACCTCCAGCTTCCAAATTCCTGTAAGAAAAGTTTTTTTTGAGGTTCAACCGTTTCAGTTTAATAGTAAGACGAGTTTTTCAATTTCCGATTGGATATGGTAGCTTTAACGCATTACACCCCGCTGCGGCACGAATCGCAGAGTCGCCAATTTTTCAAAACGATTCGCGAAAGTCGTTTGCGGTCGGCTGCACTCTCAAAATAACCGCTTTGCAGCCGCGACGCCGAAAAAAAGAGCATTCAAACCTCTGTTTTTCACTCGTTTTTTGCGAATGAAGAATCAGAATTTTTTCTTGTCATTTTGCTACTTGATTCTTTTTCTCAATAAGAAAGGAAAAAAATTGTGTGGTTTTTTTTTGTAGCCGAGGATCAAGTGGCTGCTTGTTAGCCCAAGAAAAGAACGAAACCGGTCGGCAGAAGGCGCCATTTTTGGCAATAGGCTTGGGAATAGAGGCCTTTGGATTTCCTCACCTTCTCGGACTTTCTTTGGTTTCTTCTCTTTTTGTTCTTCCAACAGATTTTGTAGTTTGACGTCTTGAACACCGATGAGAAAAGCCTTGAAGTCTCCTAGGAAGTTGGAAAAAAAAATTTTTTAAGCGGTCACTTAAGAGGTCAATTGAATGATCACTTCAATACTCGTGCAGCGAGTTTTGTTTTTTAGAAACTTTCATGTCATGAAAAAATTACCACGCTACTGAGGGGCCATTTAAGGGACGAGGTTAAGTATCTTTCATGTTTTGAGTGGTTGGAGGGATCACTTTCGAGTTAGAAATTCAGAGCTCAGAAGGAATATTTATAGGTGTTTTTGGGCTGAGATTGTTGAAAATCAAGCAATTTCTATAAGAGAAGCTAAATCTTCATAAAAATTGTAAGTAAAAGGTGAAACAGAATGAATTGTTCCTTTCAAAATTTTCCGAAAATGCTCGGACATTGGTAACGCGAAACGGACGCGAATCGAACGTGTCGGGGCATTTTTAGTGACCACTTTAGCGGCGTCACCACTCTTAAGTGATTCCTAGAATTGGCCAGAAACGTCCGTTTCGCGTTACCAAGGTCCGAGGGTGAACTTTTTTGCAAATTATTGTAATGGATTTGATTTTTCACTATCAATAAAAAGAAAAAAATTCATGCCAGCTTGGTTCTTTGCTTTCCTTTCTTCATCTGATTTTTACCGGAACCTGTTCATTTTTTTTCTTCTTGAAAACAGTGAAATGCGGAAAAGAAAGAGAAAAAAATGAATGCTATAATAGCCATAGCATATAAAGAAATGGGAGCCGAAAAATCGGCTTAAATCTTTTGCTTTTCACGCCCCGACGCGACACCGCGGGAGGCTTTTTTTCTCTTTTTTGGGCTTTTTCTTCGTCTCACAGTCGCCTCGTCACGTTTCTTCTTCCCGCGGCTTCTCTTTTGCACTTTCTCTTCGTTCTGTATGAACAATTCAATTCATCGCCGCTTTTCCGCATTGATTTATCGCTTTTTTTAATTGATTTTTCTCGTAGGATTTTTTGACTAGTGTTTTATTTTTTGTTTTGCTCTGACGCATTGAGAGTGTTTAGAAGAGTCACGGCTCTAAATTTAGCGCACCTCTCGACGTCTTTCAGCTCAAGTCGTTTTAGGTCGGCTGCAACTTCTTAATGACAGCTAACCAACCGCCGAGTGTAGACTCATTCCTCGTCAGTTTGAGATAATCGGGAAAAAAATTTTAAAATTATTTT